TATTTCATGAAACAAACAATATATCATTATGGAAGTTAAATTCTCCGCCACTTGACATAAGTGTTACCAACAAAATCCCCGTCTCTAATTACGCGTGTTGCCAGATTAGATAAATTGATAAAAGGTCTGTGTTGCCAGATAAGATTGCTTTATTAGTTTATTAATATATTTATCTGTCGCTACTGGTTAGTCTTATCTATGGAGATTAGTTTTTTAATTTGAAAACGGTAGGTATTGCAGACGTAAACGGTCAATTTTGTAGACTTAGCAACATCCTCGTTATAGTTGTATACATTATCACTTCTTTAAATTTAAAATTGTATTGTACTTTGGAAATGAACTACCATATATATTTTGTTTTTATACCAAGTGACGGGACGATCGAGTCGTGCACCTGGTAGAAAGCGACACGCCTGTCCATAACAGTTGCATTGCCACGCAGAGCTTTAAATTGCAGACTGTGACGCAAAGTTGACAAACTCCAATGTGGCAAATACATTAGGTGGCAAGTACTTCCCTAGACGAACTCTTTCACGAGGACTACAGCTCCTGATGATAACCGACATACCTACCCATTGACTTACAAATAAATGGACGACGGGTCTAATACAAAAACCACGAAAAAAATGTCCCAAGTCATCCTATTTAAACGTAGTGATATGAAAAAGCTAAAACATTGAATTTAAATTGTAATGTCATCGCAGTACTGTCTAATTTTGCTTGCTTCGCTGTCAGTCGAACAAACGAAGACTAAAGCGTGAATGACGCTCTGTATACGATTTTAACGCCCTATAAGTTCACTTTTAGCGCGGACCCGACGTCCATATAATTGTAAGTCAATGTACCTACCCATAAAAATTCGTACTACAAAATAACTTTTATTTCTTATTTAGATTTTATTTCTTATTTTTATTCCACAAATAACTGAAATATATTATAAGACACTATTTAGTCCAATGTACATGCGAGCCTGATGTAAAATTGTGATTTTAGTAACAGTAGACCTCCTTGTGAGAGAGTTTGTCCAGGGAAGTACTGCCACCTTACCTATTTCTGCCGTAATGTGAGCACTGTGTAATGGTTTTGAAGGGTAAGGGTGCTGGTGAAATTCCAGGCACATGGGACTTGTCAACTTATGTCTCAGGGCGACGGGCACAGTGGCAGTGGCCTTCAGATCTTTGCGGTTTAAAGCTCAGAATGGCACAGAAAGTGCTATGAACAAGCTAGTCGCTTAACAACAGTCGCACGACCTGTTTGTCAATAGGTATCATAAAAAAAATCAATTTCCTTATTTTGCAAATAGTTTCCCTACATTCTATACAAGAAGATTTCCCAAAACTATTCTACATCTAATCGAAAATCGTTGTAGCCATCAACCAATCAAAAGGCCAATCATATTCCGACTAAAACCATAACACTGTTGCCAATATGTAGAAATTCCCTAAGAATGGGGAAAAAAGGAATCTTATTATTATAGTCAGAGTAATAATTCAATGGATGCGAGGGAGGATATCCGGTGCGCGGCGAGCACGTGTCGTCAATTCCGGTGCCGCCATCTTTATTCACCCCCCCAACCCCGCGTCTTGGTTTCCGGTAAACGCTCTTCGTTCCGTCACGCAACCCCTTGATTAGGGCCAGAGAGTCAGACAATGGAAATTTTCGACACAGGAACAATGACATAAGGATGGCTAAACTATTGTTTAGTTTATTTCCAGTTCATTCTGTTTAATTGTTACTTGCTTTACGGTGAAGAAAAGCGAATTGGTTAAACTTTTTTTTTATATGAAAAAGTAAGTTTACACTTGACCTTCATCTTGCTTGATTTAAAATGAAGATGAGGTCGCCGATGAAGTTAGTTCAGAAGACTTTCGAAGACGAAGTTTCATGGTCTCCCTTTTTATTGAAGATGCTATGTTATTTAGAAGAAAACAATCCTTATGATCATTGACTTACAATTATATGGACGTCGGGTCCGCGCTAAAACGTGTCCGAACTTATAGGGCATTAAAATCGTATACAGAGCGTCATTCACGCTTTAGTCTTCGTTTGTTCGACTGACAGCGAAGCAAGCAAAATTAGACAGTACTGCTTTTTCATATTCCTTTACATGTCACTACGTTTAAATAGGTTGACTTGGGACATTTTTTTCGTGGTTTTTGTATTAGACCCGTCGTCCATTTATTTGTAAGTCAATGCTTATGATTGATGCTTTCAATTAGTTCAGTAAAATTACAGGTGCTTTTTTTTCACATTTGGCAGGTTCGATTCCCGGTTCAGATAGGCCGTTCGAATTGTTTTTAACATCAAAATAAAGTCTTCTTTCAGTAAAATTTTTCTATCTTAAGAGATAGAATTTTTTTTTCAGGTACCTCAGTGTGGCATAGCCGTGGGATGCCCTGTACCTATATATAACGCCTTTTCATTTTCGACTTAAAAATGGATGAGAAAAGGAGGAGAAATGGTTCATAAAGATGGGAGAAGTCCTCAAAGCACATGGGACTGTATGGACCAGCAGCCAGTATTTGGATTGATTCTAATCATGTGGATATTGAAGAAAGCGATTCAGGCTTATGACCAGGTGATGAGTAATAGCTTCTTTCTGTATCTTAAGCTTGATCAGCATCCTTCACCGGACCGCAGGAACCCTCAACAACACCATTCATAGGTATACTTTCTTGGACTAACCCTTTTACAAAGAATTCTACTTCTACTTAATGCATAGAAAAATTAAATTTGAAATAAAATCAAGTTCATTCATCATTTGTATTTTCTCGGATTTGAATCGGGCTTAGTGCGCAAGAGACGTCTGAAGTGGATCCGAGTTTTCTAGATTTGTACAGTCTCGGATTCGGAACAAATACAGTCAAATACGGGTACAGTGCGCAATCTTCCAGCCGAGTGTGAAAGTTATTTTTTTTGACTAACCTTCTTTTTTCCTAACTTTCACATCTTAGTGATCAAAAGTTACCATAATTAAGTCATGACTGTCTTGAGAACAGACCTGTGCGCTACATAGTCATGTTAAAAACACAAATAATGAAATCACTATGAATAAATATAAATAATACCACTGCGTCGCTTTGGTTAAGGCAACAAGAGAAGCATAATAATAATAAATATCACAAAGTTTAATACACAACTCAGTAATCTTTGTTACCAAACCGACAAAAGAAAACTTTCCGCAATTTTTCGTGCCCTACCGATTGTTTCTCATCCATTCAATCGACTGAGGAAAACTGTACCTTAACGAAACACAAAAGAGTTGCTAATACAACGTCTTTATACCATGAGATCGTCACAATAGGAAGACTTTTCGGAAACATTCGGCAGTTATCCGTGTCGATAGACAAATTCAAATACTCTGTAAGAAGACCCAAACTACTTTTGTGCAACAAAAGCGTCCTGATCGAAAAAAGCCTTTACAAAATTTGACCGCATTTATCTAATCGCAATAACGTTAATTATCTTCAAGGATATCTCTGATCGTCTTTTGAATTTATCTCTTTATGCCATCTACAGATTTGTACAAACCACTTATTCATCAATTTCATTATTAATTTCTTTCGTGTTTTCGATTTCTTCTACAGGGATTTGACCAATTTCAAAATATAATTGTCATTACAGTTTTTTATAATATTAAGAAAATAAATAGTCATATATGTAGGTATGATGAAGAAATCTTCGAAGTTTTCGAACACTAAAACGAGTACTTACGCGAGATAGAGCACGACGGTAAGTCATACCCAATATTACTAATTACTATTAAATTGAATAACGGAGTACATTCTCAGAGAGGAACACAACCAATTGACGCGTCTCGGTACGAGACGCTAGATAGGTAGCGCTCAGCTAACAAACGTAGTAAACAGAACTTTTTCTTGTATCAAAGCCTTAAAAATTGGGATAGTGACTAAAAAGTCATCTTGTATATCTTCACCCAGTGTGCTTGCGTGTCTTTATTGTATCATCTTTTCACACTTTTTTTTGTTTATTCATAACTATCATTTTTAAAAGCCTTCTGTACCTTCTTGAGGTACCTTAGAAGCAGTAGAGCACCTTGTGAAAGTATTGCCACCTTACCCATCTCTGTCGCCAAGCAGTAATGTGAGCATTACTGCGTTCTGGTTTAGAAGGGTAACGGGTGCAGTGGCAGTGCCCTTAAGATCTTTGCGATTTAAGCCTCTGAATGGCACTACAACTGTTATGGATAGGCGTGTCGCTTACCACGAAGCGCACGACTTGTTTGTCCCGTCACTTGGTATTTTAAAAAAAAGTATACACGCCGAGACTGACCTCTGCCCACATTACCATCACCAATCGATCTATAAATTTGTGTCGTTGCTCGTCTCACATATTTTCTTTCGGTATAACTATGATATAATCATCTTTCACAGCACAGCGTTCTGTTATTATCTTACCGGTTTTCATGGTGTCGTCATCTCTGAGGTCCCTGGTTCGAGGCCGGCCGGGTCAGTGTAGAAACTTACTTTTCTATATTGTCTCGGGTCTGTGTGTTTGTGGTACTGTCGTTGTTTCCGATTTCCATAACACAAGTGCTTTAGCTACTTACTTTGGGATCAGAGCAACGTATGTTTTGTTGTCTAATATTTATTTATTTATATTATTATTTATATATGTGACGTATAGAAGCTTACCTATTAATGCTGGACACAGAAGGCACATTATCTTGGCTGCAGATACCCTCACTCAACAGTCTGTCCCGAATTTCCCACGCGAACATCGTAGGGTTCTCTCTCTTGTAAGCCGCGATCGCGTCAACCACAGGTGGAGTTGCTACTTTTGGTTTGGAGCCACCGATGACACCTGCCTTGAAGCTGCCTGTTTCGTAGTACCTGTAAAGAAAGACGATGTATTTAGTTCAAACGTTTGTTTTAGTTCTTTATTCATCCTAACGTCATTACTAGTCTATCATAGCTTTGCAATTGGGACATCTTCAGCTAAGATTATTGATTACTCATCATGGACGTGTGTTAAGGCTTTTGTATTTTTTATAAGTGCTATTCATAAATGCAAAACAGTGTAAGTACCTATGAGCTCCGTGCGCAACACTAGCACCGCTGCGCGGCAGAAGGCGGTTAGCCATTTGGGGATCGATATATCTGTAAAAATGTGACTGATCACAACACAATTCTAGAGTACAGATACATTAGCCTATGCGATAGTTTTGCGTGCACGGAGCTGGAATTTGTTGGTCTCAAAGCATTAGAGATAAAAATCTCTAATGCTTTTTGGAGAACAACCAATTTTTCTTGATACATAAATTATAGCCAACAATTTGCAATCTTTTACAAGACAGAGATGGTCAAGAACAATAAAGTCACTGAATATATGTAGCCAACAAAAATATCAGTTTTATTTGTATCGCTATTGGTTGTAACAAAATCACACCCACCAAAAGCCTTGAAATCGGACCATATTGCATCCTCAATAGTATTCCCAAATCGGTCATAATATTCGGGCCCTATTTCGGCCCTGCTTGGGCCCTTTTCAACAGCTCGCATCCCGCCCTGTCCTTTGGGACGTGACATTAGTCTGATGAAAATGAAATTCCAAATGCCATATAAAATAATGGCAATGTATTATGAGAATTTGATTAGAAATTAAGATGGGGTTGCTATTGTTCACTTTTAAATTGGCAAGTAATATTGTTTCTTTGACGAAAAATATTTCAATTTTGAAACTGTGCACAAAATGAACGGTGGGAGAAAAGCGGCTTCACAATTTGAGGTTCGTATATATCTATAACTATGTTTTGTAATTTACGTACATTTGTCAATATCTAGTAGCATAGCTCTCGCTAATAGTTAATCAATATATTTTAATAAAACCCCAGAAACGTTACATACATGCCATATCATTGGTAAGAGTAAGCTCCATTTATTTACAACACAAACTTTAAGGTACCTTATTCAGACAGATAAATTGTTTGATTCAATATCCTATATTCCACGTCCTGCAACGTATTTGTAAATACCTATAAGCAGCAGTTGTCTTTCTCCATCAGTTACACCGTTTATTTCTTTAAAATGATAAACAAAAACAAAAAAATTGTCCCAATTATTTTTTACCTGTTGTAATGCCACTGTTTCCAAAACAGACTATACTGTTTTCAGCAAGCCGGATATCCTAATATACAGATAAGCAGCAGTATCTAATAAAGTCTAGATTGCAGGTAAATGTGATTGTTAACCCACTTGCCAAACGCGGAAGAACGATGTTTGATTGGTAATAATCCCACATCAACATAGTCGCATCCTGAATTAAATACACGGTACGAATTTATTTCCCTAGAGAGTAAGAGACTGCGTGCTTTGTCACAACATGTAGTACGCAAATGTAGTGATTATCTACACTGCTGTGCAAAGTTGACTGGCAATTTTTAATATGTGCACTGTAAAGAATTGGGAAAAGGGCGGTTTTAGATTCGATTAGTGTAAAATTACAAAAAAATATAACAAAAATCTTTATATACCAATATTGATTTTATCATATTAAAACGTGTATAGAAATTTTCTGTAGCGTGAAAAAGTAAAAACATAAATAAAAAACAATTTACTATGACACATAATATAATATAAGAATTAAAATAGCTCCTTGAGGAACTACCATACAATTTATCAGAAAACATTGAAATTACTTCAATTATTATGCAACCAAGTTTCGAAACAAGTACATTAACTGAGTCAGTGACAGAATATATCATGCATTTCCAGTGCGCTCCCCAGGGAGAAGGGTAATGCATGCTTTGTATCGAGAGTAACCCACTCAAATGCTTCGATTAGATTGTCCAGTGAACTCTTCGAGTTATTAGCCGAGTTTTAACGATACATTTTTGATGATTGAAAAAAAAAGACAAAGTTAATTGATAAAGTTTTATTCAGAAATAGTTTCGTTAAAACTCATTTTTTTAAATATGTATAGGATAATTGAACAATATTTCTTTATTTTAACTTCTTCCACGTTCAAGAACCAGTAACGCAGGTGCGATCATAAGTTACTTGTTAGTTGATTAGGTATACATAGTAAAAAAAAATATTTATTCAGCGTAATTGCGAGAGTTACATATGAGTACCAATGGACAGAATAATGTTTTCGTTTTTGTTCTGATACATCTAATAGTAATAGATCCAAGGCAAGTGGCATAGTAACACAACTTTTAAATTTACAAATTTTTAGACACTACTTCAGGAATTAGGTACGTTTGTCTTTACAAAATTAACAAGACTGTTGTATTTTCTAATATACTAATTAAAGAAATTGACATAGCCATAATGATGTTTCTCAATTTAATAATAACTTATCAAGAAACAATATTATTATCAATGTTGTTATAATATAATTTATGAAATTTCTTTTTTAATTTTCTAATTTAAGATGTTAAATTACGCCTCAACTTTCATCGTGAGTATGTTAGATGTAGATAATGCTGTAATTAGTTTTCCATATCTTTTACTGTTAATTGTTTTTTATTATTTAAATTGTTCTACTTTCTCTTTTAACTGTTATAATATATAATAATTGTAAGAACATGAGTTTAAGTACATTAAATGCGAGCTTAACAGTAAGGTTTATTTTAACTAGTAGAAAGCGATGTATAGTATAGTAATGTTAAAATTGTTATTATTTAGTGCATGTTAATAAATAGTGGAACTATACGTATTTATTTGTTACCGTCAACATCTTTACAATTTGCATTGCCGTAAATATATAGTTAATTATGAATTGTGATAACATTAAATTACTTTCATCATGATTTGTCAGTGAAAATAGTGTCCAAAAAATAATCAAATTCCTATATTTTGGCATAATTACGATTTTCTTTAAACTTTATAATGAAAGTTTCAAGTTTCGTTTCCATTTGCACTTTTTCTCCCCATTTTTCCTTTTATTGTACGAAATTACCAACTCGCATCTGATTAATCATTTCTAAACCAGTTTTATTCATAACAAATCCACTTTAAACTGGTTCTATCCAGTTTTCGCCGCACTTAACTAATTTGGCATTAGGGTGTACACCCGTGTGTTTTGGCGAATTACTCACAATCGCCCTGATAAGTCAATTACGAGTGTGATCACACCCTCAAGTGAGAGTGCGGTGACGTACAGTTGGAGAGAAAATAATGTTGTTCATTTGAGTTTGTTTGGGTTAAAAAGTTTATTTCGTTTTTACATTTAAAACAAACAAAGTAACCGAATTGTAGACATTAATTTATTACTGAATAAAGATATTAAAATACGAATAAGCAATTTGTACTTGCGGAAATGTAAAACTTTTTTAATTGGCATAATTTTCCGTTAATGTATGTTTTAGGCCTTGAAAGAACCAAGATTCTTAAAAACAAAACCGAAAATTTAATAATAATAATTGGGTAGAGTGTCGCTTCTATCACAAATGCAGAAAGCGGTAATGCTCGTCATTTCTTGAACTTGAGTCCCTGACTCCGGCTGCCTATGCCATTCCGTCTCTCGTTTGAAAGTGGGAGCTTTTTTAAGGTTCTGTTATACACGAATTTAAAATAGATAATCGAAAATAATCAGTATTTATCTAATGGATGAATCAATTCCAAAAATAACTAGGCAAAAACATTCAAGTTAAAACTTTTCTATATCAAGGTACTAGGGTTGTGACGACAAGGGTGTCTATATCCCTGGGTCCCGCGCAACATTATCGTAATGGGAACAAGGGCTGAGTGATGCGAATATTTTCAAATCTGTTAAGCTTTGCTCTTTTTTTAGCATAGGGAAAATACTGTCTTGTGTTCTTTAAACAAAGTGCATAGTTTTTATATTTCAAAGTAAAAAGTCTAATCAGCAAGTTACGAAATATTGCAGTGAGATGAAAATATAGCTATTTTCTTGATATTGAGACGTTGATGGTTCAAATTTCTCAAGCGGTATGCGCCTGTGACAATGCGACCTACTTCATCGTCATTTCACCTTTTATCACCCTCTTTTCTGGTTCCTGGCCACTATCCAGTTTGAAATTTTGAATTTCTTAATCGTTCTATAATTCCTTTTCTTCGTCATTCTTACTTTGCTTCGTTCCGTCGTCACTCCCATCCAAATTCTCGAAGAGAAAGGAAGCTCGGATCCACTTTATGTTGTGTTTAATATGTAGGGAGGGTTTTTATATTAATGCACCTGTTTTTATATGTGTATTTTTTGTATCAGTATTCTTTTTATTTTTTTCAACTCTTGTTATATTAAATTTTATGTCAACCAAACCTTTTTAATATCGCCAAGGCTATGCTAGACATCTATGACTTAAATCATTAAATTTTTGAACGTTTAGGTATTGCTATACCTCTGGCTAATGGTGAAATAAAACATCGACTATGAAAAATGCTGGGTAAATCCATTCTTGAGTATCTTTGTTATGTAGAAAATTCTTTGATCTTGTCGATAGAGTATTCAACAACGTCTATGGGTACTAGATCCCGCATATGTCGTCTCGTTCCTTTCCAGTACGTCTGGCGTACGTATTGGCAAACCCTTTCACGCTTACCCCTCTGAGAACGCAGTAATCTTCAAAGGCGGTAGTACGTCTCTGGAAACAGCACTTTCACTAAGAGGTCCACTGTTACTCAGCTTGTTAAACTGATTATGTTTCTTGTAAACTGCTTATTTTGATTGGTCTAATAAATAAAGCCCAAACCTGGACTCTGTGCGTATTCTTTTCGCGGTCCATCATTTTTTGGATGCATTTTTAAAGAACTATGAGATTGCCCTGGTACTCTGTCTATGGCCCACCTTTGGCAACAATCAGCAAGTAACTTACGTCGATTGGCAAACCTTTTCACCACGATGGCAAGAATTTTAATGTATGCCATCG